TAGCTTTGCTTTAGTAATCATAAATGAGAAACAGCCCAGGTATCCTCCAGCATTAGATAAGCAAATTGTGAATAATCATAGTATGAAACATGACCGCCACAAACATGAATAAACTCTATGTGCAAACTCTCATTGTAAAATCTTACAAAAATATTAAACAAAAGCCAGGCACAAACGAATACACAGCTTAAGATCTCATATATAAAATCCAAATTATACAAAATCAAAGGTTTTTATTTTTTTAGCAGAATGATGTATATATATTTGGTAAAATTATAAATAAAATAAAGAAATAATTATTCCAAATGTCAGGTCAGTGGTCATTTTTGGGGGTGTGGTATGAGTGTGGCAAGCTAGCCCCTTATCTTGAACACTAATGACATCTTGGAGCTCTTCATTTCTCCCGTCTGTGCTGTGGTCAGTAGCAGTATATGTTCCTTCCCTAATCCAGCTGGCTGTTAAGATGAATGATTCCTGGCATGCAGAGCAAATACATTCCTAACCCAGGTGTAACCCTTTTGAATTCCTTTTAAAAGCCCCAGCTTGCTGAGTATGGAGTACATAGCATTACTGCAACTGCTTCCGGGTCTCCGCAGCTCAACCCTTCCTGTGGAGAGTGGAGCTGAGAATCCAGTGCTGAGGTTGACCATGGACCGTGAAGTATAGGAGGGAGAGATATGTGGGGTCAAATTTGCAAGTAACTTGGGGTTACTAACCAGCTGAACCCTTCCCACATGCAAGTTTATTCTTTAATCAACCCCTGTGCAGTATTTTATTGGCGTTGTCTTTTTTTTCACTTCTAGGTCTCACCGATCCTACCGCAAATACATGGTAGAAGAAATGACTGGAGAAAGGCGCTGGGCCAGATCTTCCATTTTTAACCTGAATGATGGTTATGCGAGTGCTAGGTCTGTAATCATTACTTAGACTGTGTGTGTGTACATGCATGATGCATATGTGTGTAAGTAAACTTTTTTTATAAGTATGAAAATCCTCTATTATCCATGGTTTTGCTTTCCATGGTTTCAGTTATTACTGGTCAACTGTGGTCTGAAAATAAGTGAGTACAGTACAATAAGATATTTTTGGAGAGAAAGAGACCACATTCATTTAACTTTTATTACAATATGTTATTATTTTATTTTATTATTGGTTATGGTCCAAACTCTTCTTCTGTGTAAGTTATAAATTAAACTTTAATATATGTATGTATGTATGTATAAGAGAAAAGAGCATATATAAAGATCAGTACTATCCTGTTTCAGGCATTCATTGAGGGTCTTGGAATGTATTCCCTGTGGATAAAGGAAGGCTACTATTTAATAATTTCTTCTATTTTAAAATTTCAAAAAAAAAAAAAAAATGGGGGACCAGAAGGCGGCATGGTAGTTAAGTCACTGGGCTCCCTTGCAGCCTACTATGGTATAAGTCCTAGACTGGTAGCTTGGAAATCACACTGGTTACATGTGCATGTGTGCTCAAAGTCCCAAGAGGAGGATGGAAAAGAGGGCATTGCAGCATTGTCATTCTCCCTGAGGGGAGTGATTTCTCACTTTGTCTCTCTCTAGCCATCGCATGTGCCCTATGGGAAAAAAAAAAAAAAAAAAAAAAAAAAAACCCCTTAAAAAATA